GACTTTCTCAGTGCAATTCATCTTGTGATTTCCTGGCTACTGGTGCTGAAAGTGTTGATTGTGGAGCCAAGCAAACTGAAGCTATTAACAGTCTCAATCTATTCACCATCTATCATGGTGCTGCCAATCAGTCTAGTGGTAAGAATCTTTATTTTCTTGATGTTTAGCTTCAATCCATATTGAAGGCTGCAGTCCTTGACCTTCTGTATCATAGGTCTCAGGTTCTCCTTAGTTTTGGCAGGCAAGGTTATGTCTTCTGAATAATGCAGGCTGTTGAGGAGTCTTCCTCCAATCCTGATACCACACTCCTCATCATAGAGTCCAGCCTCTCAAATGATCTGTTCCACACATAAATGGAAAATGTATGAAGACAGACTGCATCTTTGGCATACTCCTTTCCTGGTTTTGAACCATACATTGTTTCCTTGCTCTATTCTGACAGCTGCCTCCTGGTCCAAGTACAGGTTTCGAATAAGCTCTATCAAGACTTTAGGGATTCCCATTCTTCTCAGAATTAGCCACAGTTTGTTGTGATTCAAACAGTCAAATGTCTTTGCAATCAGTGAAACACAGATAGACATTCTTCTGGTACTCTCTGCTTTCAGCCAAGTGATCCATCTAACATTCTCAGAGGCTGTAAATAACGTGGAAGATTGTCCATCTTTCTTCTTAAGAGCCACTGGTGGATTCGAACAACTGCCGAGGAACCACCTTTGAGTTATCAGTGCAATTTACTAAGAATTACTCTACCACTGTTCACTCAGTTGACAGAATAGATACTGTCATGAATTAGTTGCAATTAATGTTGTTATTGCTGTTTTTATGTACTGTTGAGTTGCCTGTGACTCATAACAACCTTCTGTATCATAGCTCTGAACCCTGCCCTATCCTAAGCCAGTCTCACTGACTCTGAAACATCTAATCCCACTGCCTCAGTTACTGTGTCAATCTATCTCATACAAAGTTTTCCTCTCCTGCGTTGTCCCTCCAACCCTTCCAAGCATGATATCCTTCTCCAAGGACCAGTCCCTCTTGACCATGTGCCTACAGTATATGAGATGGAGCTTCAAAATCCTTATCTCCAAGAAGAAGCTTTGTTTCACCCTTTCCAAGACAGACCTATTTGTTCTCCAGGTGATCCATGGTTTAATACACTTCTCCAGCACCACAACTTAAAGGCATTGATTCTACTTCTGTCATCCTTAGGCACTGTTCAGCTCTCTGATGCATAGCAAGTAATTGTGAAGACAAAGGCCTTGATTAGGCACACCTTAGTGTCTAGACTAACATCATTGCTCTTTAGCACTTTGGAGAAGTCCTTCACAGCAGATTTCCCCAATGCAATTCATCTTTCTATTTTCTGACTGCTGGTGCCAAGAGTGTTGATTGTGGAGCCAAGTAAGCTGAAATTGTTAACAACTTCAATGTCTTCTCCATCCATCATGGAGCTACCAATTGGCCCAGTAGTGAGAATCTTTGTCTTCTTGATGTTAAGCTTCAATTCATATTGAAGACAATAGTCCTTGAACTTCTGCAGCAAAAGCTTCAGGTATTTCTCAGTTTTGGCAAGCAAAGTTGTGTCATCTGCATAACAATCTTGATGCCACATTCCTCCTCATAAAGTCCAGCCTCATGAATGGTCAGTTCTGCATACAAATTGAAATGGTTTGGAGACAGGGCACACCCCTGACACAATCATTCCAAATTTTGAAACATGTAGTGTTTTCTTGCTCTGTTCTGACGTCTGCCTCCTGGTCCAAGTATATGTTTCACATGAACACAATCAAGTGCTCTGGGATTCCCATTTTTCTCAAGGTTAGCCACAATGTGTGTGGCTAACAGTCAAATGCCTTTGTATAGCCAATGAAGCACAGATAAACATTCCTCTGGTACTCTGCTTTCAGCCAGCATCTAACTGACATTAACAATAATGTCTCTAGTGCCCCACAGCCTTTTCTAAATTCAACTTATATTTCTAATAGTTCTCTGTTAATTTGCTGTTCCAGTCCTTTTCGGATAATCTCTAGCAGGATTTTGCTTATATGTGATATTAGTGGTATTATTTGATAATTTCCATACTTTGTTGGATCACCTTTTTTGTTGGGATAGGAATAAATATGGATTTCTTCCAGTAAGTTGGCCAGGTAGCAGTCCTCCAGACTTTCTGGCACAACCAGGTGCACACATCCAGGGCAGTATCTGTTTTTTAAAATATGGCAGTTGCTTTGCATGCCATCAATTCCTGGGGCCTTGTTTTTTGCCAAGTCCTTCAGAGCAGCTTGAAATTTCTCCTTCATCACCACAGGCTCTTAATCATATGTTATTTCATGAAATTCTTCTGTATCATCCAATTCATTTCGAGATAGTGACTCTGCATACTCCTCCCATCTTCTCTTAATGCTTCCTGGATCATTTAATATTCTGCCCATAGCATCCTTAAGTATTACAACTCGAGGCTTGAATTGTTCTTCAGTTCCTTCAGCTTAAGCATGCCAAGTGAGTTGGCCTTTTTATTTTCTGACTCAGATCTTTGCACATTTCATTATAATACTTTGTCTTCCTGAGCTACTCTTTGAAATCTTCTCTTCAGCCCCTTAACTTCTTAATTTCTTTTCTTTGCCTTGGCATCATAACTTTGCAGTAAAATGTGCAATATTCAGAATCTCTTCTGACATCCATCTTGGTCTTTTCTTCCTCTTCTGTCTTTGTAATGACCTTTTGCATATTCACAAATGATTGGATTAAAAATCAAAATAATTTCTAAATTTTCACTAAAAAATAAAATCAATATAAATAAAAACAGTCAAAATTCTGGAATAGGCACATTTCTGTCTGATAGACATGTAGAGGCCACAGTAGGAAAAAAAACCCCAACTAAACTACTCAAGACATCTCTATCACCAAACTCAACAGAATCTGCGCTCTAGAGCTAAGGAGGGAATCTCTGAATGTTGCAGTTAACATGCTTTGCTGCAAATCAAAATGTTGGAAGTTCAAGTATACTCATAGACATCTTAGAAGAAAGGCCTGGAGATACACTTCTAGAAAGAAA